AATCGATTTTTTTGCAAGAAAGAAAAGAGTAATCATGGGGATAAAGTGACATTTGTAATTCATGACTGTGGTTTTGGGTGATTTAATATTTATAATTTGGGAAATTAGATGAGAAAAAACCAAGGCCCTGCTCTTGTGAATGCTTCCACAGGTTATTCATTGTTTTCAATAGTCATCAGCATGCCTACTAATTCCAAAAGGAAATTAATTTGTGGATATAGAATTAGAAATCACGGATTCCATATGGAGTGGCGTGAATAGTGTCTCTGTGGTGTAGCGCCAGTATCGTAGGTGTGGAGTTTCTCTCTAGCACTGGGATGAGTACGGAACGGAAGGGGCCCTTAAGGGGCATGGTTCGGGTGACAGCGAGAGAGAGGTCGGGTGAGGACATGGTAGTCTGGGTGAACCCGAGACAGCACGTGACCGGATGAGGTAGTAACGAGGGCCAAAGAGGTGGTGAGAGAGACACGTGATGTGGGCCCAGTCTCCGAGAAAGATTGGAAGGGGGCGTGGCCAAGGGCGGTGCCTGGCCACGCCACAGCCCATAAAGGCCGAGTCCCGAGAGCGATCTGGGCTGTTCGTCTCTGGGAATGGAATCCGCCGGCTAAGTCTTCGGTCTTCGGGCTTCACGCACGGCATCGTGGACCAGGCAGTGAGTTAGCTGACCTGGTCCGAGTATATAGTTATCCCGTTGAGTGGTGACGTAGCTAACCGTGGTGGTCACCACCCTAAGTCATTATCCCGTCGAGTTGTGATGTAGTTATGCGTGGTTATTACCACTCTATATCGTTATCCCGTTCAGTGGTTATATGATTTACCCCGTTGTATTCAGAATAAACGTGTTGCCTCCAAGTTCGAGTGTGTGCCTCTGTGGAACCCGCTACACGAACAAACAGGCTTCGTGGCAAGCGTGCTAAAAACAGTCCATCTGGCCACTTAACACAAAACAAAACTACATCATGCGCACACATATCACACCGCAAATGCATTAATACATATTTCCATCCAAAAATAATTAAACCGCGTTACTAAAGAAATAAAATGCAACACACTGCCAAGAGTGCATAAAATGCAATCACACCTGCTGTGCTCCTTTTGTTTAAACGACCGAACAACACAAGGTAAGCAATTTTGGCTCCCCAAACAGCGCTGGCACGAACATGCATCTAAGCCAATTTGTATGACCCAAGCAATTTCAAAGCAGCTGTGCTAAGTAACAATCTGCTGCGTAAAGAAATACACGGGCAACAGGGGGGCATGGCGAGCCCTTTGAGCACATGTGCGACTTGTTACTTTGTGCGTCTCGTTTAAGCATTTTTTAAAATTTAAATTAAACTATTTAACACATTCCTGCGGAGGGAGCTAGTAGAAACGTTGGGTTGCTCGGTCAATGGTCAGGGTCAACGGTGGCGTGGTGTATTCCGCAAATATGGCCGACTGTGAGGGCGGGCACAAGCCGGCGTGAGTAGGTTAAACGTTGAGTTTTATCAGGGCAACACGGGGTGACCAGCCCCTCCCCACCCAGCCCCACCCCTCCCACCCCCCACCCAGCCCCACCCTCCCCACTCTCCCAACCCAGCCCCTCCCCACCCTCCCAACCCAACCCCTCCCTCCCTCCCCACCCAGCCCCTCCCTGCACGATGGACGGACGGACACAATAATCCCCTGTGGGCTGGTGGAACCAGGTGGTTCCTACCAGTATTTTAGCAAGTAAGGCCCACTGAACTATGCAGCTCTTTTTCAGAAGCGACCTGGCCACAAATGACAGCTCAACGAGGTGGCTTATCATGCGGCAATGTACAGCAACCTGATACTCGAAACGCATGTTGATTCTACATGTGGAGGGAAAAACCGGGGGGACCCGGAGGAAAATCCACACCACCACTGAGAGAGAGACATGCAAACCCCAAATATACAGGCACTGTCGCAGGGCCGGGACTGAACCCACGACCTCCTGCATACCAGGTGAGGTAGTTAACATATTGCCACCATGGCGACCTGTGTGACAAGCCGAGCATAATGTCAGATCAGCAAGGCAGTGGCTCTTGCTGTGTTGACGGGCCTGTTTATCAGCAGCTTAGAATGCAGTGCATGGAACTAAACAAATTCAGTGGCAGCACATGCAGCATTGGAGCACACAGTTCTGAGAGGCATTCCGTGTGAATTTACAAAAACCTTCGGTAATTTTCCTAATCAGATAAACGTGCGTAAATAAATATATATTTTTGCGAGGGAAATGTAATTATGACTTCTTTATTGAATTTTTCACTTAATTAACGTGATATATGATATCAGTTCTCTTAAAAAAAATAAACATGAAACCTTAGTTAAGTAGGGACAGGTGTTATACATTTGTTACAATGAGTTTTTACCAGTAATTTTCAGAATCGGATATCGCGCTACGGCAAGAGTGTACAAATTGTCCTACTGAAAGGAAACGTTCACGTCGCAGGGTCTAAATGGAAATTTTACAGTCGGTGGCATGCTTGTAAATGTCACACAAAGGCTACAGGCAGCTGTGAAAAGGTAAATTGCTGACTTCATGCAAATCAGCCCAACAGTAAGGGCGTTGAGCGTGAACTATTTCAGTTTCCCCTTGTACAGTCGTCTACAATTCTGTTCGCATTTCCCTCCAATTCCCCTCCCACTTCCAAGACTGTGTTTTAAAACCAGCCGGTAAATAGTCAATGACAATGTCCCTCATGTCTTATGACAGATAGATTCACTTGATACAGCAATTTTGCTGTGACGGTTCCACCTGAAGACGGAAGCTTGTGTTGCCTCCGAAACGTCGTGATTTAATTTATTTTCCTTTTTTTTTACCTACGTGACTTTACCGAAAAAACCAAAGAGTATGGACCCTTGCAGTCACGAAAACTTCACATCTAGAATCGATTCACAGTGGTTCGCTGGCCACTGGCATCAAGGTGAATTCAGAACAAGGTCATGCCGATAAACATTATTATTTACTTAAAAAGTACAATCAAAGATACTCATGCAATTGTATTCTATATTGTTTGTCCTTGTTTTAAAGCTTTCGTGACTGCAGGGATTCATCTTCTTGGTTCTTTCGGTAAAGTCACGTAGAAGGGAAGTAATAAAATAATAAAAATAAAACATAATAAAATAATTCTCACGACGTTTCGGCCACAATGCAAGCAGCCGTCCTCCCTTCTACGTGACTTTACCGAAAGAACCAAGAAGATGTTTGTCCTTGATTTGTGTATATCTATGTGCCTATATAAGGAAAGTTACGAATAATAAATCACACATGTAGCAATAAATCTGCATTTTCATGAGCTTAACAACCTGAGTGGCTGTTTTGGGAGGACGCTTTTATATGTTTGGGCAACTCAAGCTGGCCACTAATTTGGCCTGGAGTCCAAATTCTCTGGGCAGACTTCACTTCATGGGCAGACCGACATTCCCAACGTCAGAATTCAGGTGGAGAAGAAAGACTTAATGGGACTTGAAATAATAAAAAATGTTGTCGGTGGAGGGAACATAATGTAACATTTAATTTAATACACTTTTGTTCTTTCGGTAGAGTCACGTGGGTATAAAATTACTTCACCGAAAGAACCGAAGAGTATGGATCCCTGTAGTCATGAAAACTTCAAATCTAGATTTAATTTAATATTGAACAATTAGCATTTAATTGTGTTAGCAATGCTCACAAGCATTTCTCAGAAAGTCTTAGTCAAAGTATTTCTGGGAAAGATCTGATAAGCTCATGTGATAGCACGAGTGACACAAATCAAGGAAATACCACGTCCTCAACCAACTTTAGTTCTAATTTAACTCGAGTTTTCGGAGTTATAGAACTAACTAAAGACAACAAGAGCCAATGTCCCATGGAAACAAGGTATACATTTAGTTAAGTCTTAAATGTATACATGTATGTTGAGACAAAATCCATGTCTCCAAATACGAACCCACAACTTTCAACAAGCTATGTAGTTAGTACATTTGGTATTCGTGCCATTATTATTATTATTACTACGCAAAACTATCATGGAGGCGCTATGTTTCATATAGTCTGGAGTGGTTTCACCGTTTGGGGGCGACGTGCCTAACCCCAATCGAGAATTTTGTGAGTGCATTTAAAAACATGGCATATTTTAATGACAATGCAAAACCCTACAAACCTAACTCAAAGTGTTAAACCATGATGCTTGATATTACCATGAACTCATAACTTATCGAATTTACCATAAGCTTTCTGTTATCATTAACCAACTATACATACTTTTAGCAACAGCTTGCAGCCACTTAGACTTATTTAAACAATACACATGGAGATAAAACAGATATGCAATATCCTTAGGTTTTTTTCGGTAAAGTCACGTAGGTAAAACATTAAAATTTATTATTATATTACATTATTATATTATTTAATTTTACTTTTATTTACTTTTATTAATTTTAATGTTTAATGTTTTACCTACGTGACTTTACCGAAAAAACCTAAGAATATGAATCCTTGCAGTCACGAAAGCTTCAAATCTAGAAAGAACAGATATTCAATATCACGGTTATATCATAACCCAAAATCCATAAGCAATAGCGTGAACAATCTAAAAACAAAATCTGTATCCAATTCATGTTCTGGAAGCGTAGAAGATCAACTATCATCATGATTGGGTTATCACAACCCCGAAAGTATGGTCATACAAAAATATATATCTTGATTTGAAGCTTTCGTGACTGCAGGAATCCATACTCTTTGGTTCTTTCGGTAAAGTCACGTAGGTAGAAACAATAACAGATCACGACGTTTCGATGGCAACAACAAGCGACCGTCTTCAACAATCGACCTGAAGACGGTCGGTTGTTGTTGCGATCTAAACGTCGTGATCAATTATTTTTTCTACCTACGTGACTTTACCGAAAGAACCAAAGAGTATAAAAAATATATATGATTGCATGAAGTTACACCTGTCGATTCATCACACTTGCATAACACATTCACAACACAGTGCCATGTGTGACCTCCATACCTGTGTGGATTGCGGCAGGGGATTTGAAACCATTGGTCCAAAAATGTCCTGATCTTCACTGGCAGGCGCTGCAGACTGAGTATCACCATTGCTGGCAGCGGTTGGCGACTCTGAAACAACATAATATTTTCAGACAGACATAGCCACCATAGAACATTTTAAATGTTTCTCACGAGCCCATCTGCACCACATTTCCCTGCCTGTGTTGGATTTTTGAGAAATACATAACATGGCCTCCCCCACGAAACAAATACAAAAAAGTTGTAATTTCTGGTGCACTTAAGAGCTTACCATAATGATCATAATTTTCAGAAATTACGCACACAACTCACGGCTATTTTTTCTATGTCTAATTAGTAATCCAATTTTCTAGGACATGTTAATGTAAAGGCCTCTTTGTTTCAATACACTCTCTGTAATGTTCTTAAATTATGGCAGTGGTGAAGGCCTATTTAAAATAAATGTAATGAACTTGATGGTTGTTTAATTTTAGAGCGTCGAGATGAGGCACACCACGTATTCATCAGACAATAAACACAGTTGGATCACTGTACATATCTACCAGTTACATTCAAACATACACAATCATTGTTTTTTAGCAGAGGTGCCCCCCCCCCCCCCCGCAATGATGAGATCAAAATCCCTAATTTCGATCGGATCATTGGGGTTAATTAGTAATAAATCAGCATTTTGCAACCCCCACTGCCACTGTTTAGCATATTATTACGTGCCAGGGACTCTATGAGATGATAAGACAATAGACTGAGTCCATAATTGGCAATAAGTAACGACAAAGCAGTTATAAGTGACTCACAGAATTGTGCACAGTTGCGTATACAGTACACGACTTCCCTGAAGGCAATTCACCTTCAGCGAGCGCGATGCCGATCAAACACGGTTCGAATTCGACCCTCGATCGATGGCTGCGCCATCGCCGCACACGCGTCGAATAAAAAGCAAGGGACAAGTCCTTACTTACTAACAACTCCTATCATTTTTCATTGCTGGAGGGGTTGCCCCCCCCTACCTGAAAACCCTGGCTCCGCCATTGGACTGAACACGCTGCTAAATATATTAAATGCAGTGACAAACTTGATTAGTACAAAAAACGTGTATCCCAACTGCCTGACATTTTAAGCAAACTTAAAGTTAATTCGGTCGAGATTAACTGAAGAAAAAAATGCTTGGTGCAGCGTTTTATATTTATTCACAGACAATATCAAATAGATCAATCACTTAAAATGTACGACCAAAAATAGCATTTTCATTAAATGCACTAGGTGATTCAGGAATACCAAGGTATTGACAGAGAGCTTTACACAGTAGGAGTCAGGAAGTTGGAATCTCTCTTCCTTGATGAATTCAAAGGCTTTGCTGTCAAGAATGGTCCCTAGATGACCAAAAGATTAAGAGCTTTACCTTAGCCCTTCAGAGCACATGTTAACCCCAAATTAAGTAGAGAAGCACTTTTATTTCAGCCAGAATTGATGCCCTACTGTCAATACTGATCATTATGACTCGCTGTCGAGTGGCTGCAGTGTTGAGCAAAGCATACTTAACTCAGAGTAGAGACAAACTGAATTTAATTCTTGGTAAATATTAATGTAAACGCTTGTGCAAACATAACGGCTTAATATTATTTCCAGCTAATAGTGAGCAGTGATGTGAGTGTATTGATGTATGTTGAATAGAAGATCACAATGGGGGGTTACATTTTGGGTACCATATGCAAATTTGAAGAGAGAATGGCCCTGAGGCCCAATTGGAGTGAGCCATATATACAGGGGATCTGTACACGTTTTATTAGAATCTATAGGGCAAAGTTACCATGAGGACAATGGGATGATTGTAATTCCATGCATACCAATGCATTGTGTCCCTACCTCTAAGATAATCGCTTGTGTATAAGTAACCAGAACCAACACTTACTATTACATCTCAAAGAAATGCACATTGTAACCACAAAATACATGATTTGTGAGTAATACGTGGCAATTGTTTAAACATAGAAGATGGCATATTTTTGTACCAGGCATAATGTCTCTTAAAATCGCATCTAAATGCTTAGATATTAAGGTTTTAGAAGCTTCTACTAGTCTGCAAATAGAACTAAACTTGAGCAGCTGAATTGAGGTAGAATGGTGACCATAAATGTTATATTTCACTGCTTCAATGTCACGACAATTACTGCACTGAATTCCTGAAAAGAAATGTTATATTGAGTGTGCATAACACATGATAAATTGCCATTCACTGACAGCAATCATTCAACACAAAGGAGGTTTCCAATGTAAACAATATATAAACAACATGTTACTCCGTGATAACAGCTGTCAAAGCTAACTGATGAATTCCATTATTCTGGCTTAAATGCTGGTTAAATAAAGGAACCTGAAAAGAACCGAAATGAATGTAAGGCTGCATGCGCCATTCTGCCTACTCACGTTTAAACCAAGCCTTGACGTTTACAAATGGCATTTCTCTGGCTTTCTGTTGGAAAAAATCAAAATGAAATGCCCGAGCTTTGCTACAAAAGCGGATTGACTGCATGGAGCCGCTATTGTCAGTACTTTACACACACACAATCTGTAAAATAGATGAGCACATTTGCAGTAGGAGCACAATTCCGATGTCGAGGCAGGAAAACTTTAGGACACAAATCACAAGTGTTCCTCTATGTGCATTAAAACGTATGTCTATGCACCTGCACACTGAAACATCAACACAGCAATTAACAAGTCCATGAGCTCAATTACGAACTTAGATACTTATTGTTCACAGTTCGTACTGAATTATACTGACTGAATGCACTATGGATTGATCAAAAATGACCAACTTGTTTTTTTATCATCACGTTGTCAGGTAAAGTATCAATTCAAAAATCTCACAGCAATTGCATAACCAATCAAAGAAAATGGGCCATACAAGTAGATTTCATAGAGCTACTTCTGAGATCCCTTAAAGTCCCCTTACTTTTTATCCAGATACTAGGGGGTACAATTTCTCACATGCCCTGCTGCAATGAAACGCAGTAAGCTTGGTAGTCAAAACGATATTAATTACCCGAGCTGGAATTCAGCTAATTTGCTTGAGAACTCAAATGTAATAGATTGGTTGTTGTGCAGTTATTGGTTGAATCAATGGTGGCTGAAACATGGATTCAAACCTAATGTCACGGAGGTTCTGGGTGTGATTTTAACCTGAGCCTAGCCTATAATTACATTTGTATTGTCAGCTAAGCTATAATCACGAGAAAATCAAATTCCCTTACATGGCAGAATGTTTCAAAATCCCATTCCAACGAATGGATATTTTAAGATGGGAATCACAAAAGAATCACTATTCCTCGAGGAATCATCGAGGGTAGAATTATGGGAATCGAAGATTATTCCTGCAGCATCAGCTGACTCTATTCAGCATTGCGCAACACTCATATGGACACTCTTTGATGCTTATCAACACGGGTGTGCTCCTGCCTGTATTCTCTAGCCAGCATCACGTGCGAAGTGATAGCCACTCACCCCCTTGTGTGCCGTGTCGGCCTTCATAGGTGCTCACTAAAACCACTTGCCCCCAAAAGTCTGTTGAGGCTGTCTTTGTCTTCTCGCCTTGTCCCCCCCCCCCCTCCCGATACGTTCCATTCATTGGCTACCACATTCTGATAAGCTCTCCCCCCCTCTCCTCCCCGTTAACTTGTATTTAAGAACTTGCATCTTGGAATCCCTGCCTCACTTGATACAGCAAATCTGGCTGTGACGGTCCCACCTGATGACGGAGACTTGTGTTGCCTCTGAAACGTCGTGATTTTTTATTATTTTATTTGTATTAATTTTAATTTCATTTTTTTACCTACGTGACTTTACCGAAAAAACTAAGTGTGTGGATGAGTGTGTTCATGCAATGTGAATCGTCTACGTACACACAAACATTAATTTAGTTTTGAGCTCCCACAGGTACCTGCATTTATTTGCTCTTATCTTTGTGTACTTGTGAGTAGGACAGCATATACACAGACACATTAAACACCCCGTTCCCTCCAATTAAAATCGGAAACGATGTCTTTGTTTTCTCCTAATTTTTACTTTGCAAAACGGCACGACAATAAAAAGTAATTACTCGGTATGTGATGGAAACGGTACCCCGTGCTCTCGCTGTGTGGTTTACACACGTGATTTTGTTGACATGTACGTACAGGCAGTTTATTTTTGCGGCTATTATTTCTTGACATGCAAATTACTTTTCAAAAGTCAGTGAATTAGAAAAAAAAGTAATTAAACAAAAAAATACAATGTATTTCTTTACAATGGGGTAAGTATTAAGGTCGGTAAATGTACTATCATCGTGCATGCCACGATTAGAATTATCAGATAAAAACAAGATAAAAAAAAACTTCATGGGCAACTGCAAAGTTTAAGTCGTCTTGTTCAATAATGCTAAACTTTTCACATGCTCTAACTAAACATTATCTAACTGACAACAACAAAAACAACAACAAATCATCCGTCTCAACTTTTCTTACAAATGCTGTCTCAAAGTATGCCACATTCAAAATAGTCTCATTGCCCTCTCCCTGTTGCACTCAGAAAGGGACACTGCACAATAATCGTGGCTTACTATCTTTTGTTCTAAGGCAAGAGTCAATGAGGATGGACCTGTGGTGTTTTTAGCCCGTGCTAAGACACGTGATAATTAATGGAAGAAAAACACGTGGTACGTTTATATGCAATGTATGTAGTTGCAGAAACGCCGGTGCGTTTATTTAATACGAACAAAAAACATGTACTCCACATCATACCTACCGTGCGGATAGTTGTATTTTTCAAAGATATTGTATAACCAGGAACTTAAATTACACTTAAAGTAAGTACAAATCTATTGCCCAGGCCAATAAAAACGACATTAGAAGTAACAAATAATTCAACGTTGACTTTTCATTTCTAACCGTGACCACATATTTAGTATGCAGCTCATTCCTTCACTGAAAGCATCTTCATAAATAGCGATCAAACAGCTCACATTTTTTTTCCCTTCCCTTTTTAAGCCATCGGCAGGGTTGAACCCATGAAAGAAATCAGACATTAATATTCCATATCACGTTCCCTGAGCTTCA